TACCAGCTCCATCCATGTGAGGATAAGGATTAGCCTTCAGCCCTGTGTGTGTGTGTGTGTGTGTGTGTGTGTGTGTGTGTGTGTGTGTATGCCTTCCTCTATAGCTCTCTAGAGTTTTGTTTTTTTTTTTTTGGAGGGGGTGCTTTTTAAAAAACATTTTTATGTATGTGAGTGTTCCTTGCATGTATGTAAATGTAACCAATGCTCATGGGGGTCAGAAGAGGTTGGTGGATCCCCTGGAACTGGTTAGTTGTTAGCCACCCTGTGAGTGCTGGGAACCAAACCTGGGTTCTCTGTAAGAGCAGCCAGTGCTCTTAAGCATTGAGTCATCTCTCCAGCCCCTTTTGGTCTTTTTGAGACAGGGTCTCCCCATAGCCCCAGCTGGCCTGGAACTTGCTATGTAGACCAGGCTGGTCTTAAAACAGAGATCTACTTGCCTCTGCCTCCTGAATCCTGGGACTAAAGGCATGCACGCACCTCCATGCCCAGCTTTTTATTTTTAAATTATGTGTGTCTATGTCTGTGTGGGGGTATGTGTACTTGTGAGTACAGTGCCCACAGAGGCCAGGAGAGGGCACTGGATCCCTTGCAGCTGGAGTTAGTTGGTTGCATCACCTTCATGCTTGTGTGGCAGATACTTCACCCACTGAGCCATCTCCCCAGCACAGCTGATGGACATCTAAGGGAGTAGAAATGGGGTTGGGAGATGCTGTCCTTCCCTCCCATGCTGCTCACTGCCACCCCACTGCTGGCCCTCAGCCTTCCTGCTGCTGAGTGTTCCTAGTCCCAATGTGGAGCAGAAAAGTCACCTGGAGCTGGCAGTCTTAGAATGCAGTCTAGGGACTTTCCTTGCTGAAGTTTGAGAAACATCAGCCTGAGATCCTGTCATTGACCTTCTCAGCCTTTTTGACATCTTATTCTTTCTATCCCCAGGATGAGAGCCAAGTTCTTCAGCTGAACATTCAGGTCTCACCAGACCAGCCTGTTCCTCTTGTCGTGGGCCCCAGCTATGAATGTGGGTCAACACAAAACCCTAAAACTGCCAGTGGATCCCAGAAAGGGCATCAGATCATGGATGGTTGTTAGTCACCATGTGGGTGCTGGGAACCGAACCCAGGTCTTCTGCAAGAGCAGCCAGTGCTCTTAATCACTGAGCCATCTCTCCAGTCCTTAAGATTTATTTTTATTTATGTGTATGTGTGTGCACACAGGACCCCAAAAAGGGTGTCGGAACCCCTGGAATTGAAGTTACAGGCGGTTATGAGCTACCTGACATGGGTGCTGCGAACTGAACTTGAGTTGCTAGAAGTGCAGTAAGTGCTCTTAATCACCGAGCCATCTTTCCATCCCAGACTGTGAAGGTTCTTGAGCATGAACTTTGTAGATGGAAAGGTTGTGTCTCAACATCAAAAGCTCGAACACACCCACCTTAAATCCATCCAGGTTGCTCCCTTTGTGGAGATGCTACCCAGCCTGCAGAACCAGTCCAAGGCTGTTTGGACTGGCCTGGTAGGGGTAGATCAGTAAGACTCTTATTCTGCCATGACACCTGGAGGTTAATTCTTCTCTAGAGTCCCGACCTGGCCCTTATCTGCATTTTTCTTGCTTCTTTTCAGGCCAGACTTGTCAAGCCCTGACAAACAGAAGCAGGTATGGGCAAGGTGCTACGTGCCTGAGATCCCAGCACTCAAGAGGCCCAGGCAGGAGGATTCTGACGTCCACCTGGACTACATAGTGAGACTTTCAAAACTAACCAGAACTGGGGACACAGCTGTCAGCAAAGTGCTGGCTGGCCATGCAAGCCTGAGGACCTGAGTTTGATCCCCAAAACCTATCTTCTTTTTTGGGGGGGGTCTTTTTGAGGCAGGGTCTCCCTGTAGCCTGACTGGTACTATGTAGACCAGGTTGGCCTCAATCTCACAGAGATCCACCTGCCTTTGTCTCCCGAATGCTAAAACTAAAAGGACTATGCCACCATGCCTCACTCCTCAGAACCTATCTTAAAAACAAAACTAGCTGGGCATGGTGGTGCATGCCTTTAGTCCCAGCACTCGAGAGGCAGGGGCAGGCGGATCTCTATGAGTTCAAGGCCAGCCTGGTCTACATAGTGAGTTCCAGGCCAGCTGGGGCTATAGGGAGACCCTGTCTCAAAAAGACCAAAAAAACAAAAACAAAAACAAAAAGTCCTATGTTAAAAAAAAAAATCCAGGTGACTGGGCTGGAGAGATGGCTCAGTGGTTAAGAGCACTGACTGCTTTTGCAGAAGACATGGGTTGAGTTCCCAGTACTCATGTGCTAACAACTGTCTATAACTCCAGTTACAGGGGATCCAACACCCTCTTCTGGCCTCTGCAGGCATGGCACACACATGGTGCACTTACATTCATGCAGGGAAAACACTCAGACACAAAATAAAAATAAAAATGCTGGCTTTGTAAGACACATGGAAGGAAAGCATGTGATTGTAACAGCTCCATGGGGAGGAAGACAGGTTGGGGAGTGCACTGTGGAGCTTTAAATCTACAGACAGTGAAAGGAAGACTGCAGTGAGGTAATGATGCACATTGGAAACTCGAAGCAGAAGAGAAAAAACGATGGAAAATAAACTCCAGTTTAGCTGCTAATCAGATGCCTCATCCACATCTTAGTCCCCTGCATCTTCCTCATACACTTTGCTCCAGGCATCCAGGAGAGGCACTCCCTGTGCCTTGGCCACAACTCAGTATTTCTACCAATTCGTTAGTTAAATCAATTTAAAAAAATCGTTTCTAGGTGGGAAAAAAAAAAAAAAAAAGAAAAAAAAGAAATCCAAGCGTGGTGACAGCATTGGCAATCCCAGCACTGGGAAGGCAGAGACAAGTAGATCCCTGGGGTTCACTGGCCAGCTCCACGGCAGTGAGAGACCCTGTCTTGAAACACGAAGTTGGGGGCTGGAGAGGTGGCTTGGTGGTTAAGAGCACTGGGGTTCAGTTCCTAGCACCCACATTTAAGTCCAGTTCCAGGGGATCTGGTGCCCTCTTCTGGCCTCTGTAGGCATTGTACTCACGGCATACATGCAGACAAACACACATACTTGGTTTCCACAAACACAAAGGTGCATACATGACCATGGGGGAACATGTACTCCCCCACCTTCCCACAAAACTAACCCAAAACCAATCAACCAAGGAGGTTCAGGTATCTCCATAGGATAGACCACCCCCACAATGAGGTACTAATACTGACAGAATAAAGAAATACTTTAAGGCCTTCTCCCTTAGATTGCCAGAGCTGATCTGAGGGCCAGGGAGAGCCCTATGTGGCAGCCCTGGTACACTGTGAACAATGATCACCCTACAACCAAGATATCATGTGACCTGCCTCATAGGTCCCACCTGTCAAAGTGGATGCAAGATCCTGTTAAAAGGCACACGGGGAGCCGGGCGTGGTGGCACACGCCTGTAGTCCCAACACTTGGGAGGCAGAGGCAGGTGGATCTCTGTGAGTTCAAGGCCAGCCTGGTCTACATAGTGAGTTCCAGGCCAACTGGGGCTGCAGGGAGACCCTCTCAAAAAGACCAAAAAAAAAAAAAAAAAAAAAAAGGCACACAGGGCCCAAATAGAGCTAGTATAGTGTTTCAGTTGGGAAGGGTGGTGATATTTAATCACATTTTTCTTTTCTGGATAGGTCTTTCTTACTATGGAGGTCAGGCTGACTGGGAACTCATGGCAATCCTCCTGCTTCAGTCTCTTGGACTTCTTTATACTTTTGGTCCAACTAGGAATTGAACTTGTTCTAGCTTTCTTTCTGTTGTAACACATAACCAACAGCAACTTAAGGGAAGAAAGGATTTATGCGGCTTACAATTCCAGGCACAGTTCATCAGAGAGGTCAGGCAAGAGCCTGAAGGCAGGCCTGCTTGCTATTCCAGAAAGCATTACTTCGGACCAAGGAACATATTTCACAGTGAAAGAAACACAGCAGGATCCATGGTGGATAAGCTTGCTAGCTGCCCCACAGGCTTGTACTCAGCTAGCTTTCTTCAGGACCACCTGTCTAGGGAACAGTGCTGCCCAGAGGGCTGCTGCCCACCTACATCAATTATCAATCAAGACAATCCTCCATAGGCAATCTGATCTAGGAAATCCCTCAATTGGAGACTCTCGTCTCAGGTGACTCTAGGCTGTGTGAAATTAACAGTTAAAGCTAATTAGGAAAGAACCTAAGGCTTCAAATATGCTAGGATGCATTCTATCCTAGCCACTCCCCAAGCCCCTCACTGGAGGATTCTAGGTAAGTGCTCTACCACTGAACCACACATCCAGCCCCTCACTGGGTGTTCTACCACTGAGCCACACCCCAAACTCCTCCCTGTGGGATTCTAGGCAGGTGTTCTACCACTGAGCCACACCCCAAACTCCTCCCTGTGGGATTCTAGGCAGGTGTTCTACCACTGAGCCACACCCCAAACTCCTCCCTGTGGGATTCTAGGCAGGTGTTCTACCGCTGAGGTACACTGAGGGATTCTAGGCAGGTGTTCTACCGCTGAGGTACACTGAGGGATTCTAGGCAGGTGTTCTACCGCTGAGGTACACTGAGGGATTCTAGGCAGGTGTTCTACCGCTGAGGTACACTGAGGGATTCTAGGCAGGTGTTCTACCGCTGAGGTACACTGAGGGATTCTAGGCAGGTGTTCTACTGCTGAGGTACACTGAGGGATTCTAGGCAGGTGTTCTACTGCTGAGACATACCTCCAGCTTTTCATTTTTGAGACAGGGTTTCTCTAAGTTGCCTAGGCTGACTTTGCACTCACCCTAAAGCTTAGGCAGGCCTTGAATCAATCCTCCCTCAAGTAGCTGGAATTGCAGGTGTGAACTACCCATACTTGGCTTGAATTCTCTTAAAGCTACAGGTGCCTCTGCTTAACAGGTCAATAGTTTCTAGTTGTGACTCACAATGAAGCATGGTGACAGATACTCTAAACCCAACTGATGGGGGAAGAAAACAGTCAGAGACCTTAAAAAAGAAAATCAAAAGTTTGCTTTTATTGTTATTATCAATAGACCAACCACAGTTTGGAAGGGACGAGGACCTTGATTCAATACCCATCCACTGAAGCAAATTAAAAGTACAAAGGTCTCTGAAATGGCTTTACAGTGATACTGATGTCTGAATAAGTTAGGGTGACGATGTTGCTAGAGGCTGAACCTTCATTTCATGTTCTTGACAAAGTCCTCACCTTTCTTAATGGAGGCTTTCAGCTCAGGGATGGCTGCAGCAACCATCTTCTCCTCGAAAGGTGAGAGTTTGCCAATGCCCAGGTTCTTCTCCAGGCCCTTTTTCTGGAGGGGAGAAAAGAGGTGGTGACATGTGATACCAAGCATCTAGTCTGGGGTGGGGATACACGCCTGCAACCCCAGCACTCAAGAAGCTAAGGAGGCAAGTGTACTCTACCACTGAGCCATGCCCTAGTCCCTCACTGGGGGATTCTAGGTAGGTGCTCTACCACTGAACCACACCCCCAGCCCCTCACTGGGGGAGTCTAGGCAGGCACGCTCCTGCTTAATTGCATCCCAGCCCAGGAAGTCTCTTCTCTCAAAGCTGATCCAGATCTGGCTGCCATTCAGCACCAGTGGTCACATTCCCCAAACAATCCTTGCACTACCCAGTGTGAGATGTCCCAGCTCTGTATTCCAAAGTGCCTCTTCCAGAGGCAAGCACAAAGGGACTCTGAACCACGAAGCAATCTCTCTCCTGAGGGCTACTCACCCCTAGCAGCAAAGGCGTGGAGAAGTAGGTACACTCTGTCTCTTTGGACTGAACAAAGGAACATTCAACCACTCCTTCCTTTCCATTCATGGCATCCACCAGGGAGAACACAAAGCGGGCTCCCGCATATGCCATGGACAGGGTAGCAGAACCTAGGGGAACAAGGTAGATCAGCACTGCTGGTACCACAGTCTAGAATGGGGTAAGGAACTGTGCATTGAAAAAGCATCCACAGACCTCTCAGTTCACAGTGAAGGATCTGGGTAGGCACCTCAGCTTTTCTCTTTCCCCATCTCAAAAATCACCTACCCCCACAGCAACCTGAATTGCTTTCTAAAACCTCTTCCACAAAGGCAGACACCATGGGGAACCACCCATTCTCTGTCCCAGGACAAGTAGTCTTTCTTTGTCATACCAATCTTGCAAGGGCTTGGTGCCAGTGCCCTCCACCCCTGGGGATGTCCAAGACCTCACCTGCTCCAGCCTTGGCCTTTACAACCTCTGTGCCAGCCTCCTGGATCCGCCCAGTGAGTGTAGCTAGCTGGTCTTGGGGAAAGTCCACCTTGGGGGTACACTGTAGGCCAAGCCAGGGACTTGGTGAGCAACTTTCCAGTGCAAAGGCCCCTAAAGCCCTGCCAAGTCCTAACCCTCCTCACAGGGGGCTCCTTCCCATCACTGTACTGGAAACCACAGCCTCTTCTCTTTCTACTGCTGGAGACTCAGGGCCTCACGTGGAGCAGGCTAGTACTGCACCACTCAGAACCAGAGAATACAAAGGCCTTTTCTTTACAAAGGCAGAGGCAAGTTCACTTTGTTGGGCAGCTAGGCGAACCCTCTATTCACTTTTATTATTTGGCCCTTTGAGACAAGATCTCATGAAGCTCAGGCTGGTCTCAAATTCACTATGAAGCTGAAAATGACCTTGAACTTCTGATGCCCATCTCTACCTCCCAAATGATGAGATTAAAGGTGCTCTTAAGCACTGAGCCATCTCTCCAGCCCTGGGCATGCTTAGTCAGTTGGGGATGGGGGTCATGCTTCCTCATGGTTCCCTTATACAGTTACACACTTTAAAACATGGTTCTATGCAGAAATACCAGACACCATGGGTCCTTCGCACATTACAGACAGGGGCTGCAATACTGATTTGACAGATATCATTTCCAATATTGCTAACCTTGTTTCTACTCAACTAAATGAGGCAGGGCCTCATGTAGCGCAGGCTGGCCTCAATCTTGAAATATAGCCAAGGATGACCTTGAACTCCTGGTCCTCCTGCCTCCACTTCTCAAGTGAGCACCATCACTCCAGGTCTTCTACTCATCTCTGCCTGCCTTGATCTAATGGGATTTCAGTGATGTTTCTCCTAGTGTGCTGAAGCTGGCCACTTTCACTCCATTCAGTCTCAGAGGCCAAAGTCAGGAAAGCCCTAGACAGCTGGGTCCCCGCCATGGCAGGAATCCCTTCAAAACACAGCAGCTGGTTCCAGCTTGTCCAGCCTATTCTGAGGGCTTCAAAGTGCCCCGGGAATGTGCCCATGATCTTAGAACTTCCTGTGATCATGATCTCTCTCATACCTGGGAGATCAGGGGGATGATTGTCTTCCCAGCATGGCCACCAATGACAGGCACACTGACTCGAGCTGGATCCAAACCCTGTTTGCCAAAGCAGGAAGCTTGATTATTACAAGTTCTCAGAGTAGAATACAAGCCACAGCCACCCAAAGCACCCAGACTGGAAACCTGCAGTGCTCAGAAACAAATCAGAAGGGACCAGTGTCTGACCATGGCTGTGCTTAAGTGTTTGGGCCCCACCATCCAAAAGGCCACTGAGAGATGGCACAGGACAGGATGCCTTGTGTGGAGCCATCACAGGCTCCTCCTTACAAGGCCAGCCTTGCCACACCACTGTGGACACTTGACACTTGGTGGCAGAGGACAGCAATGATTCTTTCCCAGGGCTGTCATTCTCCACTGACAAGTACAAACAAGTGTCCCCACTTTGTCAAGGAGAGAAGTCAAGTTCTTTTCCCTTCGTTTCAGAGAAATCCATATTACAAGAGGCCCGTGGAGTTGCAAAGAACACATCGGAGCTGGACAGGAGCAAAACCTTAGGGTTCAAGGAAGCTGGGCTTGCTAGTGAGGCTGGCACTTGCTGACTGACGGTCTGACACCCCCCAAGAATCTGTGACCAGCTATTTCTGATTCTTTTAAAAGAAAGATTTATTTTAGGAGATGGTGTGTGTGTGTCTGTGCACATGTGAGCAGGTGCCTGCAGAAGAGAGCATTGGATCTAATGAAGCTGGAGTTAGAGATCGTTGTTAGCAACCACGTGAATGCTGGAAACTGAACCCAGGTGCTCTGTAAGAGCAGTCAGTGCTCTTAACCACTGAGCCATCTCTGCACCCTAACCCAGCTATTTCTAAAAACAAATAAAAGGGGCTTGGCTATGGCTCAGTGGTGTAGTGCTTGCTGAGCATGCTCAAGGGCTCCATCCCCAGCACTGCAAAAATAGACACAAAGACACTTGGTGGCAGAGGACAGCAATGTTTTCCCAGGGCTGCTGGGAGTGATAGACGGGAGATGAGTACTTCCCAGAGTCTCATTGCCTTCCCCAACTGCCCTGGCTGCTGTTGACCACCTGAAAGTCTCACCAGGATGAGCCTCACCTAGGTAAATGAGGGCCAGCCTCAGGGTGGCCAGCCAAAATGCAGCAAAGAGCCAAAGAACTCAGAGTGAGCAGATACTACACAGGTGCCAATTCTTGTCTCTAATTTCCACACCCAGCCTTACTATGGAGGCCTGGCTGGCCTTATACTTGCAATCCTGTTTCCAGCTCTGCACTGGGATTACAGGCGTGCACACTGTGCCCCACAACAGCTCCTGCTCTTATTTTATCTGATCTGATCCAACCTACCTACCTACCATGGGTAACCCAAGCAAGGGAGGCAGAACTCAAGGGCCCAGATGACACTTAGCATCTTAGGATTTCTGGAACCTTCCTAGGTTCTTCATGTTTCCTGACCATATCTCTGTGTCAAGGACTAGCAGATAAATCTTGGCAGCCTTGTTTCCCAGGACAATGGGACCAGGATAGATAGGGGCACTATCTAAGTGTGGCCACCAAAAAAGCCTGGATAAAGTCTGAACCCTGCTGGATCGGAAAAAGTCAAGGCAGAGTGCACTAAGCCAGACTGTGACCAGCTAGAGCCTGAGCCTACATGTAGAGTCTGCTGCCTGACTCCTACAGAAAACACAAAACTCTTACAGAAAGATTGGAATTCCCAGGTCCAATTGACCTATCACCTTCTGAGCCCACCAAAGAGCAGCTCAAACAGGTGACTAAGAGACCCTCACCTTCAGTTCTGCCACGAATCTGTTTGCTCTGACGATGTCCAGGGTTGTCACGCCAAAGATCTTGTTGGGGTTGTACACGCCACGCTTCTTGAAAACTTCAGCTGTGATTGGGATGGTCGAGTTAACCTGGGCAAAGTGCAAGACAGGTGTCAGCCCATAACTCTGTTTCCAGGCAAGCTACCTGCATGGCAGGATGGCCATGCCATATAAACAAACACTCTGTACTGTTCTTTGGTGGCCCTTCAGGGTACCTGCTGCTGGGCTGGAACTTGCTGAAGCATGTGAACTACAGTCAAATCCCAGTTGTGTCCTTTTGAATCAGTGACCCTGGGCAAGTCACCCACCCTCCCTAGAAACTGTAAAATGGAGTTGAGTGCCTATCACCCAGGACACAGAAATACAACAAAATAGAGTAAGAGGACAAGGTTTATGCCCTGCATTTAACCAAAAACAGGCATTCACAGGCTGCCACAATCATGGCAGAAAGGAGCCTTGCAAGATGGGCAATTTGAGCAGGGCATGCACTAGGGAGGGAAAAGTGGGGGAGGGCAGAGGCAGGCAGATCTCTGTGAATTTGAGGCTAGCCTGGTCTACCAAGTAAGTTCCAGGGCAGCTGGGGCTACACAGTGAGATCTATCTAAAAAAACCCAAACAACCCCCCCAAACCCCACAAAAATAAGAGAGGAAGAATATCGGGATAGGAGGAAGAGGAGAAGAGGGAGAAAAGGGAAACGTCCGTTCCAAGTGGGGAAAGATACAGAGAGGGGGAGGTGACCTGCTTGAAGGCACAATCAACTGAAGAACCAGGTTCAGACCGCTGTGGGAGCAGAAGGCACTTGAGGAGGGACCTTTCAGCTCCCCAGTACGAACATCTCATGACACATGCAGTGATGCCCTGCCCACCACTTACTGGGTTGGAAATGATGCAGATCATGGCTTCTGGGCAATGCTGGGCACAGGCGTCAGTCAGGGTGGCAACAATGGAGGCATTGGTGTTGAAAAGGTCATCCCGTGTCATGCCTGGATGATCCGTGAAAACAATCACAAAAAAATTTTAATTTTTATTCTATGTGTAGGAGTGTTTTGCTTTCCTGTATCTAAGTGCACCCATGTCCTGCAATTCCTGTAGAGGCCAGAAGAGGGCATGAGATTCCCTGGAACTGGAGTTACAGATGGCTGTTAGTACCATGTGGGTGCTGGGAACTGAACCCAAGTCTTCTGCAGGAGTAGCCAGTGCTCTTAACCACTGAGACATCTCTCTGGCCTCACATGATGAATTAAAAAAAAAAAAAAAAAAAAAATCTTTGACCCATGTGACAGGGGAAACTTTTAAA